ACACTGGTGTGTGTACTTTTGCGCACTTTTCTGTATCTGAAAAATATTATTCTACCACAACGTTTTGATTCACACTCTCTTCAAGTCTTTTCCAGGTGCATCCTGATTAAAGTAGTAAACTATGCTATAGTTACGTTCTACTTTAGACTTACTAGTTCCTTGAGATTAAATGGTTCGGTTCAGAAGAGTAATGGCTGCCAAAGGATGGAAATATGCCTTGCTACGGACTGCCAGTCTGGATTTCCAAATGTAATGTTTGTTTCGTGCCACTTAATGTTATGTTTGTTTATCCACATATAATTCACCAAACTCAACCATAAAATAAATATGTCCTTCCAGTTTGTGTGTGTCGTGGATATTACTTCTTTGTGATAGATAGAGGGAGAAGGAGAGGTAGATTAGCTTGTTATATGCAGGATGGGTCACAATCATCAGGACTTCTAAATGCAATCGCGCACAAAAATATAGTCTTTTGTTTTTGCTTGAATACTTCTGATCACTACAAATGTCCTAAATGCTGACTTGATGTTATTAGTTTTGGCGTTACACCTTATTTTCTCGGTGTCGTCTTCATAGCACAGCCAGAACTTTGATTTGCATATGCATTTTGCGTACGTACTTAACCGCAATAAACATCTAATCGGGATTTCTAATAACTTATATTCTATATGATATAAGATATTTTTCAAATGTTCAATATCGAATCTCGCAAACTTGTTCCAATCACCAAAATTACTTTTATTTCGCTTAGCTACTCCAGAATTAAATTTATCGAAGGTAAATTATTCTTGAAATACCGCTTTATCAAATAAATTGTAAACACTAACATCCATTTAGCGCGCTAAACGCCTTCAAGATCTATGATTAGAGGTCATGAACATTTTAATCCTTAAAAGAAATATGTAGACATCCCATGGAGAAAACCACTAATCTCGTGATGTAATCTTTAAATTAATCGCGTGAATTGTACATGCATTTATATGTTGGGACATTTAGTACGTAAACCCTCGGCGATTAACTGCATATGTGAATTAAAAACCGTTCTAAATTTATGGAGGTAAACTGAAAATGTTGTTTTAGATAAGTTTTTCGGTAAATATGGGTTAGTTAGACCGAACCGGACCTAACCATAGGCTGTCTATGAACTTTAACTGAGATTAAACAGACCTGACCATAGACTATCTTTAACTTTAACTGAATTATCGTTTCTGCCGTGGCTACTTTTATACTTAAATCATGCTGATCATAGCAGAAACGATACTACGTCTTATTTTAATCGTTTAGTCGGCGTAAGGGGCCATATAATTCCCTTGTCAAAAATAACAATAATTTGTCAAACTGTGACTTACTTTGAATTTTCTTTTACGAGTTTGCGGAGATGCGATTAGTTTTCGGGAAAATACTTCAGTAAGATAGCAGAAGCTGAAAGAACTCACGCCAACAAAGGGCGAGGAGAGTCGTTTCAGGAAGATAGTGGACGACAATCGATGTTCGGGTTCCAGGCACAGAGGGACAAGTATTGGACATAATCGAATCAGGGCCTTCCAGGGGTACTCAAAGTGCAATAACTGACACTTTCCCAAGCACCAAATAAACACCGAGGAAGCGCTACATTCCTACCACGTTTGTACGATACACACAGCACAAGGAGATACAAATGGAGCACGAGTTAATTAATTGAATACGAGAAGCTGCTTGATAAGAGTGGATAATAAGGAGATTACACAGGCACTAGCTTGTTTACAGTTAACCATTCAAATGTTTGGTGTTGTAGGGTTTATTTATAAGCAACCATATTCGAGGTTATGAGAACAGGTTGACATTTCGTCAACAAATCTTGTTGAATTTACCGTTTATCCTTGTCTATCTTATTGTCAGTCTGTATAATTCCATGGTTACCGGAGTTTTCAATAATTACGAAGCAACAGGTATTTGCGCAATGTTAATTAGGCAGATTACTTTGAACAACATTGCTGCCGTATTTCTGATATAGTTTTTTGCAAATTTCTCAGTTTTTAATAACAACTAATTTATTTAACTAGTTTTTCTGTACTCCTATAACACCGCCAGACAACAGCCCCAGAGGAATGACGCCAATTTTGAATCACCCTGTATATTCAAAACAACTTACGCGACTGGTCCCTGTTTATCACCGTGCAAGACATACATGTTAAAAAAATTCATGCCGATTTTCCTGCAAATGAAACCACATCTAAACATTTCTTTAAAGTGCTTTGTATATATGAACTAACAGTTCCACGACCAACGAGTCCACTTCCCCTTACAATAATTTTACTACCAAATACTCCCTTCATTTGCGGTGTTGTCATGATGAATGTTTCATTATGTTTTCTTGTAATTACCACCTTAAATTCTTCTTAATTTTTTAATCTAATATTTCGACTCGGTTACTTTAATGACATTTGCTTGTCGCTTATTACAAATTAAAAAAACCCCTAAATGCCTTCATAGCTACCGTTTTCCTGCTACCGATCCGGCAAAGCAGCTTTCATAAGTACCTACTTTTAATATGACTGTGAACCATTCTTGCTCCCATCGAAATACGTACACAAATCTGTTTAATCTGAGTGCAAAACCCACAAACTATTTGCGAGTCCTACTCCAGAAGCAATTCACTAGTTCTTAAGACACGCATTCTCTACCCACCACTGTATGACTGGTACTTGGATGTTCTTCCATGATGTAATTTGATGGCAGTCTGCCCGCCTCGTTAGCGTAAGATATTGTGGGTTGGCCATAATGACAGTTCGCGAAGCCTATGCCTCCTTAACTATCAGTAGCGATGCAGAGATAATATATATTGTGGTTTCCGTCTGATGTTTGCAATTCGTTTTGGCTCAAATTGCTGACCTTAACAAATTACTCAGTAATCGATCTGCTTGTGAATTCAATCTAGGACGTTTGTGATCGAATGCAAGTAAAAACGTTTAACTTGGAAAGTTCCAAAATTGCAAATATCTGGTCGCCAGAGGGCTATAACGCATAATTAGTTGAACGTATTTTCAGCAAATGCAAAGAGTGTCACAAAAGCCTTAATCCGAATTTTTACCTCTGTTGCAACTAGGCAATTATCTTAAATCTGAAATTTGTTAAACAACTTAAGTTTTTTTTAACAAAAACTGTAACACCAAGCACATTGATCAACTTATCTTTTAGTATTTCGATTAACTACCACACAAGAAGGAATGCCATTACCAGATATTTGCAGATGATCTGTATAAAGTAAAAATTGTTCCCATCCATTGCAGTTTATTATTCAGCAGTTGGAATTAAAAACAAAAAAATGCGTTTAGAATGTATCGACTCAAAATCAAAAGCTTATAGCGCATATTTTTCAGATATGAAATTCAGTATAACAATTAACAAATTACAATGCCATAAAAATCAGATGCGGGAATTTTAATTTAAAAAAAATAGGAAAACAAGTCAATTATAGCGATTTAGTTATGTAAATATAAAGTGAGTGTTATACACTCGCGCATTGCCAATATCGAAAGCAAACTTGTCTATATATTAAAATAACACATAAAAGCAGATGATTTATTTTATTAGAATACATTTACAAACTTGCAGATCACAATAATATTTTCAAAAAATGCACCATCTTTTATTTGATAATAAGGAAATTCTTGAGCATGTTTTTGTTATTTTATTATTGCTCACTTCAACCACATCGACTTAAAGAAATCAACCCCTCTAAAAGAGTGGAGTTAATTTTGAAGCACCCTGTATTCCCAATTCAATGTTTTATATTATCAAATAAAAATTTCCGCCGGAAAATAATGCACGTATTTACACATTTCTTTGCGCATTATTTTTTAATTTTCCATAAGTCAAAACAAACATACATACACACTAAAAATACAAGCAACACTAAACTGCAGCCTTTGTTAAACTAGCTTCCATATATTGAAACAAACGTATTCTGGTTTTTACAAATTCAAACCGTCGGCGAACTGACGATGAATCGAAATTCATCGCAAGATGCAGTATTTTAAAATCTTTTCCAAGACGCCGTTTTGCTTAAAAATTCGTCGTGTTTTCAAATTTTTCGAGTGTAATAAAGATGGCGATGAAGTAAAATAACCTGCAATTGGGTGCATCTGTTTATGCAAAATAGATGCTTTAGGAGATAAAGTATCGAATTGTTGTCATTACAAATCCTCTTTCATATTTTTAAATTTAAATCAAGCGGAGGTTTGTGTATACATATTGCACGGAAATCAGGAGTTTACATTTTGTTATACGTATAGATTGTTTGGCAGCCAAATATTTCTACAAAATTTGCAAATAAGACATTAAAACTTAGCCTTGAAAATACTGCTGGTCGCGCAAGGACTCATTTTCCAGTACCATGAGTGTCCTTGTACCATTTTACATAGGCGTAACACTTACAATTTCTTAAAATATGATGATATTACAGCAGGAATGTCATCACTAAGTATAAGAGTTTCCATGTAGAGAATATGTTTTCCGTTTGGAGACAGACATTTGGTTCAGTCCCACTTTAATGGCCCAGTGTATCCGGTGATTGAAATCCTCTACTCATTATAGGAGGAAACTTTGTAACCTTATATTTAGCGAATTTCTCTCAGATGTTAATAAAAAATAATAAAAAAATGCTGCAAAACTACAGGTCTGTGTCCACCAGCGCTTTAAAGTTAAGCCTTCCATATTATGGGAATAACCGGAATTTGAACAATTACGTTAAATATTGATTTAGATAAGTTGGAACAGGAATGGAAGATGAGAAAAAACACAGGAGGTAAAATATTCTTAAAGCAGTTAATAATATTGAGAAATAATTACACAAGCTATTGAGATCCGTCCAATTTCATTGCGGTTCATTGAATTATTCTTCTAATTTTTAAGTTTTTTCTTTAGTATTCCGCAAATGATACTTGTAATATAATTAATATAATCCAGATGAAGTCAAGATAAAATTTTAAATATCCTAATATAATTTAATTTTTTTGCAGGAATGGGAAGAAATAAGCTAAATCATTGGAAGCTAGTTCTTCTAGTGGCGGCTTGTGTTTCACCTTTAACTGGTGAGCAATAAAAATCAAGTAAACACTGAAACTATACAGTTATTGAAATGTAATATTAAAAATATATGCTGAAGGAACTTCAGTTCACTTCAGTGACCGTATTTAGAATAGTATATTATAATGAAATGAGCATGTTATTCTCGGCTGAATTGCTACAAAATTTTGTCTTGCATAGTACATTGTGTTAAAATTTTATAAAACTTTTTGTCGACAGCGCAATACTAACTAGGGACTAGACTGAGTAGCGTCCCAATTTCCTATAGGTGTTTTACTGAAAATCTGGTAACTCTGCAGTAAACCAACCGGAGCGCGATTTTATTGGAAGATTGTTTCGAGAATTTTCGTAATTTAATTTATTTAGTAGGTAAAATCCGTATTGCATTACGGACATATATGGATTACATAGGGATTATATAACAAATATATAAATCAGATTAAATGAGAGATACCGTTTTGGGCTAGTTGTTGATTGCTTTGGTGCAATTACTTTAAACTCATTGACATTGGAACTTGTAAAATAATATAATAAATGAAAAAAAGATAACTATCGAACGTGGGCTAATTGACGGAGAAACATTTTTTTGATCGCATAATCAAAGGTCAGTTATGCCAATGTATTTGTTTTTACGCCCAGTTACACAGTATTAATTTAAATTTATTTTAAACGAAACGAACAACAGTTAACAAAACTTGGGTAAACTCGCAATTGGAAGGCCAATCCAACCATGCTAAAGAAATTAGGAATTTGCATTTAAAATAAGAAAGTTACGCTATGGTTTTTGTACATCTTGTAAAGCTAAAGGAATAAATGTATTTTACATGGTTTCGGCACGACTCGTTATGACCGGAAACAATATTTGAAGTTTATAAAACAACTGCAAGTTGGCAAACACTTAATGCACGATCTACGTAAATCACCCTATATGGGATTACCAATTTTATACTACATATTAAACAATATATGTATAATGTTGATCCGTTATGCCGAATAGTTGTCATAAAAGCATCTTTAATAATCACCAAAACTTTACATACGGTCATAGAAAAAAACATTTCGTAATATTCAAGCTTCATTTGCATTTGTTTTTACCTGCATTATGGGTAGAATAATACTGTTAAAATCTGATTACAAGTTTGAAAGTTAAATTAAACTAGCCGGTGAAAGCACTTCAAAAACTGGTTTCGATTTTAAAAAGCCCTTGTCATATCCTTGTGCCACCAGCAGGTAAAAGGAGGAAAAACGTAAAGCACCAACGAAAGAGATTTTTCACAGTGACACATAAAAGATGAATTTATGTCACGAACCGCAGCATAAATATCGAGTGTTTCACAGTAAACTCATTATAGACCATGCTGCTCTATTGCCCTCACGAATTGCCGAACAAATTGCCTTCCATTAATTTCGCTACATTTGTTGCATCGCTTTATAAATCTTACTGCAGAGAAAATGTACAAATGATGTTTAAATGGAAAACCTCTATATTTTCTTTGGGTAAGCTGTTTTCCAATCAGTGGCGTTTGAATGTACTTCATTAAATGCCTTTTTTCGTTATTGCATTGCAACTTTCCGAATATTGCGACCAGTTTATAAATATGTCAGCAGTTTGCCGTGATGAATACATCTATAGCATTTCAATATTCCAACTTTATGCAATAATGTGACAGTTGGAGAAAATATCTATTAATGAGTTACAATTACACATATCAAATTTAGAACTGTTCAAACAAAATTAAATTTGATGCTTATTGACACCAAAGGGTGGTTATGAAATATCCCGTTTAAGTGAGTGTTTACTTTTTTACTTTGATCTCCGAATCAAGGTTGTGGGGGTGTGTTTCGTATTTGAGAATCTAAAATGCTTTTGTTATCCTAAGTATTTTAAAAACATTTATTCTGCCGTATAGGTAGCTATAAAGCTTTTGCCTTTTTTTTAATTTAAAGAAAATATAAATAAAAGAAAAATTTTGTTACACAAGTATGTTTGTTTTCAATTCCTTTATTTATCTTCGAATCGAATTATGCAGAGAACGACGACAAAATAAAAATTTAGAGGAAAGCGTGCCTCGTTTCGCAGTTTGATGTATTAATACAATATGAACTTTAGTAGGAAATTGTTATTTTTGAAACACGTTCTTTGAAAAGCACACATATTCATGCAACTTAGTTTTGAGAAAAACATATTATTCATATGTAATTTGTGTGTGTGTGCTTTTGTAGAGGTATAGACCTTTGAATTGAAATAAAAGTCACTAAGATGATGTTAACGTCATGGTACTGGCTTTATTCAAAATGCAACTTTATGCAATTATAGCTTAACTATGATCTGGGTATAATGCGCCGCGACTGGCTTGAATGAAAAGCAATCAAGAAGTCAAATTTTCGACCACTTCCAAACTTCTACCCCATCATAAAACACAAAAACAGTGAGTTTTTCGGTATATAACAGGGTCTCAATAAGGGCTTCTGGATTTTCGTCGCTCCAAATCCAGAAATTTGGTCGACGTCGATTATTATCGACGATTATGTCGACTGTAAAATGAACGTAGCGTACGGTGAGCTGAACGAACTGAACAGCGAATTTCTAAATAAATTGCCGAATTTAGAGCGACAAAAATGCAAAATTCGAAGGCCATTATTGAGACGCCGTTGTACCCGGAAAAACTCACTGTTTGATGTGCTTTTTTATGGGCTAATGGAATCAACATGATCGAAAATTGGACTTCTTTCGTGGATAGCTCTTCATTCAAGCCATCCGCGGCGCACATGGCATGCAATTGTCTTCAATTAAGCCAGTTCCATGACCTTAACATTAATTTTATGAGTTTTATTTCAGTTTAAAGTTCTATACCTACCTACCTACCAGTAAATATTTGAAAAAGTTTGATGACTATCAAGAGTTTATCAAGCATTCCCAGGTCCGGTTTCGGACCACTTAGCCCTCGTCAGCTGGGTTTCGTTTGCTTCGAAAACCTATTCCTTATTTTACGAATTAAATATATAAAACAACTTAATATTTAGTCAAAAACCTTAAATAAACAATTAAGAATATCCTGATGATATTAATTTCTGTCGGTTGTTTAATTTAGTCCTATGTTGGATGTGATGGGTGCAAAAGAAGGCAAAGTATTCGGCCTCGGATGCAAAAATGCAGGTGATTTTTAAGGATCTTGTGTTTTTTCGCTTCGGATAAAATTTCTGCTTTTATTTTCGGCAGGCAACGGATATGCAGAAACAGGGTCTTTCGTTTGGCACTTTTCTATGTGCTCGTCAGTGAATGTCTGAATTCACATGTATATGCTCTATACATTTCTGAGTGTCTTATGTTTTTAGAACCACACACTCGCGCATATAAAACCGGACCAGTAAAAAAATGTATCAGAAAATATGAATAATTTATGGTAGATACATACGCATATACATATGTACGAATAAAAGTAACTAATTTCCTTCCAAGTGAACCATAAGACAAATCGTTTCGTTGACATTGGAAGGCTGAGGTTACTATTTTTTTGTGTGTAGATGGTTATAGTATACTGTGACTCCTGGACATAATTTAATCTTTTAGGTCATGATTTGAAATAGGCTTTGAATTCGCTAAAATAAATTTGGATACGTGTTTTTAATTTTAAATTTTGTTCGATATTGTATACCAAGATGTTTCAAGTACTATTTGATTAATTATTTCTACTTTTTACATTTAACTATTACAAACATTTTATGAACAACGGCTTAACATTTACAATGTGAACATATTCACTCATCATTATATTTAACATTATTAGACAAATTAGAATAATAACAGCTCTTCAAAAAAGGTTGTTTGAATAGGCGTGAAAGTAAAACTAAAATATTATCAATGAATTGACCATTAAGTAGTTTAGTTACTCCGAACCAATAGATAAAAGCAAGCCTTGTAAGATCTTTCCAGTAACCTAAAGTAGAGCCGTGAAATAATTCAAAACGCATTGATTAAAATATAGGATTTAACGTACATCCTGTAATTTGAGTTATCATTGCCTTGCAACTCGAAACTTGGACCTCAATGCCCTTAGCGTTTCCTTATCAATTATAACACTCTCTTAAGATACGCCAGTTCAGATGGAATGTCGCAGTTGTACGAGTTTGGAAGCTTATTTTAGACAATATAATTTAATTTTTGGATATATTGTGCTTTTGCTTAATATGTGAACTGTTATATTTCTCTGCTTCCTAGGAAATGAAAAGGATTATCAATAATGGACAACTTTAACTGAATTACAAGTTTTATACGAAGACCAGTAAAGTAGTTACTGAATACCAACTGGAACAAATGGAACATTTTATGTTCCACTCTGCGTTAATATGAAGAATTGTTATGTACTGTTATCTAGATGAATCGCTATACCCGATAACCGGGATCGAGTCGAGAGTTATTTCTTGGCACTTCCTAATATAATGTTGCAATGAAGACATGTACAACATAACCAAAAAACATTGGGTACGTGTCTTCGGATTCTCCTTCAAAGCGACAAGGAAAACTATCATCACTCTCCACCTGCTTGTACCGACGTGACTTTGCAACTTTAGCAATCACCCCATCACATTAATCTTACGCCACCCGAGGGCTGAGGTGCTCTACTCTCGAGTCCCTTCATTAAAAATGCCCTTTTCAGAATAACCGAGTTAATGTACATGTATTTTACGTGAATCATTTAGTACAAATTAAGTCATAATGAGCTGTTGATAGAAATGTTGAAAATTCTTTAATAGAGAAGAAGTTATTTGGTACAGTTTAGGTTGTCATTTAAAAATTGCATGGAACTTTTATTTTAATCGTTGAAGTTTATTTTACGGTAAACTGCAAGACATCGATTATATCAAGTCATCTCGTCTTGATATAAGATTAACTCGCCACATTCTACCAGAAAATTCATAGACATTCAAATAAGAATTCAAATTGAGATAAAATCAACGTTTTCATAAGCTTCAACAGATTATCATTTATAAATATGTGTGAGTA